AAAGAAAAAATGAACCTATCACTGTAGATAATAAACCTGGTACATGAATCACACATGGTACAGTTCAGACTAGTCCTGGCCTGAGTCTAGGTTTAACCGTACCATGTGATTTACCTTTTATAGGGCATTCATTTATAAAGCTAAATATACTGCAACATGTTTTAAACATGTTCCGGGGTTCCCATAACACTGGATCAGTGTTATCACTGGGCTAATTCACCAGAACGTTTGACCTTTTTCATCAGCAGTGACTCAGTTTTAACACGCTGTGGTTCCACCTTTTAATTCGATCTTTGACATCATAGAGTCCAGATTTTCTCTTTAGTTTTCTGACCGTTGCTGCTTTAATCCTAACTTTTTACCAGTGTTTTGAAGCCGTGGTCAGAATAACAACAACAGCAGCAGCAGCAGCAGCAGCAGCAGCCGCGATGTCCGTTAATTGACCCGGACATTAATTAGACCCTGGTCTTATGAAGACTTGTATATTTGGACGGATATTTGAAACCTGTCCGGCCTAACGAGGGAGAAATCAATGACTGGTCATAATTAGTTTGGACACAGATAGCAGACAAGAAATTATAGAGCGCACCACGGTCTCGCCGTCTTCACCGGACGCTGGTACTGACTGCTAATCTTTTGAGGCTTCAGTTATCAGACCTTGAGAGTTTACCTGGTCTCTGGTGTTCAACCTGTGGCTCCCGCTCTGCTCCAGCCTCAGACAGTCATTAGAAACACAGAGGAGGTCAGGTGTCTCAGTCTGTGATGAACTGTCTGTCTCTCGGGGACCTTGTCATCGACAGTGAGACGTGTCGCTGAGCAGCTTCGCTGTAACGTCACTCTTTTATTGACTGTTCCTTCACAGGTTTTAGAGCTAATCTCAGATAATCCCTTTCACAGCTAAGCTGTCAATTAGAAACCCAACGACCAAAGACGTTAAGTCATCTTTCTGCGAAATATGGAGAAGAAACTCCAAACGGAGGATGATTGAAAAACCTTGAAACTTTTAGTCGTAAAGGTTTAAACCGTCTCCAGTTTTGAGTAACTTTTGATTAGTTTATGGTCTTTATCTTTTTCATCCACTTTACCCATAATTCTTTCTGACAAACTGTCAGCTGACCAGAGCTAAAATCTAATCCACCATCTGAACTCAGAAATGGTAGAAAATTGAGGTTAAAGATGTTTTCCAGCAGCAGCCGCAGTGTTTTTTTGGGAACAGAGCTGTGATCGTCCCTGACTGTCCTCAGCGTCTCCACGATTCAGACCAGTGGAGGAGGAAAATGAAAAGGTAAAAAGAAGCCGAGCAGATGCAGCTCTGGAACAATCACCTGATGGAAGAAGAGGGAAAAAGTCTCTGAAAAAAAGTTCTTCTCAAAGACAAAGAGGTGCAGACCAAAAAGACCACTGCTGCTGCTGCTGCTGCTGCTGCTGCTGCTGCTGCTGCTGCTGTGTAACTGGACTGGGTTTAATGATTCACATTCTCATCGGGGGCGGACCCA